ACAGCGCATGCATTTGAGGAACTGAAGCTAAATGTAATAAAATGTTGTCTATAATATTAGTTGATTGTTGAAAATTTAGGATAATACGTCAAAATTAAATTTTGAAAGAGGTCGCGGATCTTTTTAGCATTGATCAGCTTTCAATATATTCTAAGAAGCTGAAAAACATAGATTGTATCTCTAATTATTATGTTCACATAATGTTGAGGGGAAAATTCAGATTCTAGTTATAATTATTCGCTGTGTTTGATTTTCGTGGAAATTTACATTAACACAAAAAGAAATCAAGGTGACCATTCACCATATGTTGGATTTTAAAAGCTTTACATTTGTCATTAAAAAAATTTCAACAGAATTTGGACTATTCGCGGAACTATCATTGTTTGTTGGTTATTATCCGGCAACGTTGGTAACCATACAATATTTATAGATAAAAGCAAGTGTCAGTTTCGCTGGTTTACTTCTCACACTGCTTGCTTTTAAATGAGGTAAGCAAATTTATCTACTTACTTGATTTATTGAAATACAGTTTTTCTTAGATGCATTCCACTTTCAAACTGAGCACGAGTAAGTTCCTATTAATTAGCTGGTTTGGATATTTGAAAACGATGAGATGAACAGATGTATTTGTTTCTGTTATGACAAAAATGCTTAAGTAGTACTTCGTTTATAACATTTAATGACATACCAACTAAAATGATCTTTAAGCGTTTTAATTTTAAACGCACCCTCAACATTAGCGGTCAAGGTACCTTGACGGTACTCAGAGCTCTGTTTATAGTTTTTCTTAAAATAAATATACAATTTATTAAAATATCGGCATTCCAAGGGATGTAATTAGTAACAAGTAATGTTCTTTGGAAATGAATAATGTTTATTGCATACATTTTTGAGGCTGATCCCCCAGCTCGTCTTCAGACAAATGAATAGTCCTCTCATTTATCTGACGAGCTAGGGGCCCAGGTTCAAATATTTACACAATTCACTTTATTTATTTCAAAGAACTTCACCTGTTTATAAATATAACTAATTCTGCAAAAGCCTCCGTTGTTTCCTCAGTTTTAAACCACGCTGCGTGCAGTTGAAAATTAAAGCATAGCATAACTGAGATATTTTGGATGATAGGTCGAAATGAGCTGATCGCCCGTCACATCCAAAAGCGGACTGGCAAGGTGCGGACCCGCAAACAAGTATCCAGTCACATCCAAGTGCTTGCGCGTCGCAAATCCAAGGAACTTCAAGCCAAGATCCAGGACCCAGACGCCAAGAAGGAGGCGATTGATCAGCTTTCTAAAATGTCTTCTGCTGAAATTGTCTCGCAGGAAATGCTCACTACTAAGGCGGCACAAGCAGGCCTAAAAATGGACACTGTTCTTGCTTGCGGCGAACGCTTGCATCCTGGCTACCAGCATTCACACTCCCATCCATCCCTTGCCCTAACAAATGGCGGATGTCCAGCCGTCTTGGGTACTGGCAGTCAACGGCCGACTGCAAATCCGCGCAAGTCGACATTCCTCGATGAGAAGCAAGATGAATCGCCAAAGAGGAAGATTATGCGGATATCCGGTAAGCCTCATTTGTGCGTCATCGCCGCGTAAACAGTTGCAGTTGTGCACGTTTTTACCAAGAGCCCACAGCTTCTCAAAACGATCGACACTGCATACAATCCTCATGCTCATAAAAGCTCCGATATAAACTTTTTATGAATTCAGTTAAGCAAATTATACCAATTCGATCATATTCACATCAGGGGTTAATAAAGTACGGCTGGCGAGCCAGGTGGGGCTCTTTTGATCATGGCATCTGGCCCTCTCAGATAAAACTTGGAATTATAAACTTCAGATTTTATGATTTTGGTTCGTCCAATGACGTGACACCGCCGAGACGTGTAGCGGAAATAATAAAATATCGATTGAATTCAATCTTAAAATATATTATATGGATCTCACTGAAATATATTTCTCAATGTTTGCTTCCTTGGCTCTCTGAGTCAAAAAGGTTCCTGACCTCTATCCTACATACAATCGAATTTTCTCGGCGGGACCACGTAAAAAAGTGCTCGCGTCCGATTGTCTGATGCGAGTCTGCAGAATTCTACCCATTTGCATCCTAGGATCTGCCTTTTAATTAACTTGATCTGCCATGTCTAGGACTGACTTGACTAGACTCCGAGTCTCCACGAATATCTAGTCTAGGGTTTCTATTTTTGAATAGGCATTTACACTCTCCAGAAAGGGTAATTTTGGTTCAGCATTTCAGATGCACACATTTTGCAAAGAATGCGAACGTACAGTCTGCTGCAGGAAGTCTCGTTATGAAACCGTGGCTGTGTCAAAATCGGCTGTTCCGATGACTTGTCTCAATTTGGTTTTTTTTATTCCGGTACAACACTCGCATAACTCAATAGTGTTTCCCTTTACAGTCTCTCATATACTGGACCTCATGGGTGCATGTTTAATGCAGTTCCAGCCCGTTGGGTTTAGGTTATCCACAGCACTCATGATTCATACTCCAAATATACGTTCAGAACGAAACGTTCAGCATAGTAGCTTTTTATCTTCTTTTGTGGATTTATTGGACTGTACTGAAGCTATGCCCTGACAGCATGTACCATGCGTTTTTCAGTTTATTCATATAAGCAGAATCGCTCCATCACTATCAAATATTGCT